CGCCTTAAGCTCTTCTTCCTTCATCCATCCTTGAAACAACTTCCATCAAGCCTTTACCCCATAACTACGCTGAAATGGTTCATGTGAAGGGCCCCAGTGATCTCCATGTTATTAAAACCAGTGGTCAATTTTCAAACTTCATCGTACCTGAACTCTTACCAGCATTAAAGTAGTTGACCACTAGCCCCCTTTTGAAATACATTCTCTGCTAGGCTCCCAGGACACCAAAATCTCTTGGTTCCTCCTAAGCATAGTGCACATTCCTGGGTCTCCTTTGCCAACCTCTTAATATTAGAATGTCCCAGAATCTAGTCCACTGATATGTTTCCTTCTCTATTCTCACTCTCTTGGTGAATTCATCCAGTCTAACTTAAAATTCCTTCCTATGTGTCCAATTATGTATCTCTCACCCAGGTAGCTCCCCTGAATTGCAGACTCATATAGGAAATTGCTTGCTTGACTTTTCTAACAGGCGTCTAATCCAAACATGTCCAATACTAAACTCTTTGTGAGTTCCTGCAACCTGCTCCACCCTTCAGTATTCTATATCTTAACAAATGCCAACTCCATCCTTCCAGTTGCACAGGCTTGGAGTCATCCTTGACTCTTATCTCTCCCTCATAACCTTCACTCAATCTCTCAGGTCTTTAAAATTCTACACTCAACTACTTCCCAACAGATTTACTCAACCACCCTGTGAAACTAACAGCGTCTCTTGCCATGATATTGCACTAGCTTTCTCACTGGTCTTCCTGTCTCCACCATGACCACCAGCACCCAAAACCATCCTTTTAAAAAATGTGTTAGACATGCCATTCCCTTGATCAAAACTCTTTCATGGTTTCCTGTCTCTCTCAAATTAAAATTCGAAGTCCTTCCAAAGGACTTCAAGGTCCTACATCATTTGGCCCCTGCTGTTTCTCCAACCTCATCTCCATCTACTTTCCTCCTTGCTCACTCCATTCCAGACACACTTGCTGTTCCTTAATGACACCAGGCACACTCTTGGTACCTTTGCACTTGCTATTCCTCCCACCTGGAATGCTCTACTGCCAAAGGCTCTCTCCTTTATCTCCTCCAGGCCTTTGCTCAAATATCATTTTCTCAGTAAGTCCAACCCTGACCACCTTATTTAAAATAGCACTTTCCCACTCTGGCACTTCTGGCCCCCCTTCCTTATTTTATTTTCCCCTTTAGCACCTATCACTCATCTTACACCCTGTATTTTTACTTACTTGTTGGTTGCTTCCCACCACTAGTATATAACCTCCATTAGAGCAAAGATGTTTCTATTTTGCTTGTTGCTATAACCTTGGCACCTAGGAAAGTGCCTGGTATATAGAATTAACTCAATACATAATGTGGAATGAGTGATGAATAAGTTTAAATAACTTTTTGAGGAATGTTGCTATAAAAGGAGAGCACAGAAATGGAGTGTGCAGAGAGTAAGGTGAGATTTAATTTTTAAGATATGTAATGTTACTGAATACTTATATGCTAATAGAAATGGTCCAGTAGATAGAAAATTTGATAATATAGAAGGAAGGAAATCTGTGTGACTCATATTGTTAAGTAGGCAGTAAGGGACAGCACCACTGGAGGGGCTGGCCTTAGATGGGAGCAAAGATAGTTTATCTACAGAAACAGGAGAGGGGGTGAAGAATACAGATACAGGTAGGTGGGATTCTGTAAAATTTCTCTGATTTCTCCTGATATCCTCATTAGCTAAATTCCTTTCTGCATGAGATGAAAAAAGCAGCAGCAGCAGCACTGGAAATCTGAGAGGCAAGGAGAGGTGTGAAATGATTTTCTAGAAAGTGGGAATGTGAATTAATTAGAGGAAGGTAGTAGGGTTGTCTGGTTTACTTACAGTTAGTTGTCATGAATTTCAAATGAGATCAGTCAGTATGATAGGGTACACTCCAGCCACGTTCAGGTACATATACAGAGAGTTGTGGAGCTGAATATAAGATCGCTTGGCATTTTGCCAGACAAATATGAAGCAGTAAGAGATGAGGAGGTTGTTGATGGTGTATGCAATAAAGTAATTATATTGATGGACTATGAGATCTAGGGTAGGTAAGATGGGATGTGAGGGTAAGCGGGTGAAAGTAGGGTGGGTGACTTTAAGGCATTATTAAGGTGATGAGGTAAGTAGACTGGCCGTTCCAGCAGGTTTGAAGAATTTTTGTTTTGGGGAATAAGTCACAAAGTTAGAAGCTGTAGGTAAGAGAAGACATTTGAAAATAGGATTATGGAGGGATGCAGTTATTGCAGTAATAAAGTCAAGGGTCTCACTACAGCGGTGGTTGGCCGAGATGAATTGGAAGGCAGTCTCAATGGAGAAGTCAAGAATTTAGAGGCCAGGATACTAGGAGGGTCAACTATGTGAGTATTGAGAATGCTAAGAACTAGTGTACTGTTAAAAAGAAGACAATGATGTTAACATTTTCTGAACTCAAAGAGTGACCTGGGGTTCTAGCGATAATTACAACAAGGAGCGGTAGCACGGAGTATAGGTGTATTAACAATAATCTTCAAAGGAATTTGGGGATTTTATGGAGAAGTCATGGAAAATGATCTGGAATTGGTGATGAGGTGCAAGATAGACACCTTACTCCATTTAAAGGCTCAGTGATATGAAAGACGCCTCCAGCAGGAACATGAATCAGAAGATAGGTTTTGGTTGGAGCGAGATGGTGAAGGGAACATTCTGAGCAGAGGTTAAGACTATAGAGAACTGAGGCCCTGGCCGGGTAGCTCAGTTGGTTGGAGCGTTGTCCTGATATGCCAAAGTTGTGGGTTTGATTCCTGGTCAGAGTACATACAAGAATCAACTAATGAGTGCATAAATAAGTGGAACAACTAATCGATGTTTCAATCGATTAGTTGAAACTGGGGCTTAGATCTTCAACATATCTTCTTGAGGGACACAACTCAACTTAAAACAGGGGTGTTGATTTAAAAAAAAACCAACTACATCTTTTATGGAATGTGTTCATATTTTAAGTTGCTCTGGTTTTTGTCCTGCTTAGTAAATGAGGCCTGGTAACCCAAGTGTTTAAGCAATGCCCATTGTTTGTAAAATGCATGACAACCTAAAGGGACAAAAAGTGCTATATACTGTGCATGCCATTTAAAGTTATGCAACATGAAGTATCTATTGGTGCTGGGTGATGATGCTATTGAACCTACTGAGACAGCCCAGGTGGCTCAGGGGGAAACATAAACTTTTAAGTTGAGGGTCTTGTGGTCTCTTTCACTATTCTTGTTGCTCTATTATTTTAAAATGTTGAACCCACTAAAGCTCACAAGCCTATGGGCCCAAGAGTGGGGGAAAGCTTGCAATATAGTACGATGCCTGTATTAATAGTATTGATCAGCACAGAAAATCTCCATAGCATGCAGATGGGAAGGAGAGGGAAAGAAATACACATCTAGTTCTTTAGTTATGAGCCGAGATTCCAGCCTCTGAGATACTCAAAAGTGCTAGCCTAGGTTTCAGCCCTCTAGTTGTGGCTATGACTTCTCCCTGGTTTTCTTAAAAGAGTCACATGAGGAAGGGACGCCGCTCTTCATTTCTTCTGCAATGGGGAAAACCGCAGCTACACAGCCATTCACTGTACACTTACCAGATACCTGGCTCTATACTAGTCCTCTGACTCATGCAAGTGGGGACATCAGATTGGCCTGTGCCCTGTGCATGCACTCCTGGGAAATTGTGAACCTAGGTCTAGGAAACAATACTGAGGGATGACCCCAGGTCCTCACCTATCTAGTGAATGGTAGGTACATCCCAAGTCTTGTATTTCAAACAAATGCAAATTAATATTCACTTCAGTTTCAAGTGGACTTGCTGCAAATTCTCAACTGGTGAAGTCCAAATAAATGAATTCGTTATGCTGAGGGAAGTCATCTGGTTATTTGACTCCCCTTACCTTGTCAGAAGGAACCTAGCATTTCAGAAGGAAGGGAAGGCTGGGGCTTTGTACTTAAAGGTAATGTCTTTCATGAATCATGCAGAATCCAACTGTTTAGTATTTAGTAGTATCTCTCTCCCTTTCCACTTCCTACACAGCTTGTAAGAAATGAAGTCCCTCACTCTATTACTCTAATTGAATTCCAACTTGGGTAATTACACTATAATTAAATAAATTTCCCCATAGTTTTAATTCACTGACAAATAGTGCTAGTTAAACAGCTACATTTCACTCCCAGAAACACATCCCCACTCCATTTCAGTGATCAGTGGAGTGATTTATATTTGGGAGATGTGTGTATGAAAAATGCACAGTTCATAAAGTATTTTAGGTATCACTCATGATTACATACGCTTTTCTCAGCATGAGATAACATTAATTTCTATGATAATTTTTCATCTAATTTCTCATATGCTTAGTACCAAAAGAAATAAGACAGTTAATTAGCATTTCTTATTTTCTGAACAATTTTTGTTTAGTTAACCAGTAGCTTGTATCTTTTTTATTTCCAAAGCACATTTCATTATCCCTGGGAGGCAGCCTAGGGTAGGTGGCGGTGTTTCCCATTCTACAGATGAAAAAATCAAGGCAGTCTTCCCCAAAGTGGGGAAGCCAGTTACCGTCAGCCTTGGAAACCTGAGCTTCCTCTCGTTCCGGTTCCAAGGCTCTTTCCATCAAACACTGGGTCACTAACAATCACTTTAGTTTTACTAATGAGAAAATAAAGAGCAGCACATTTGTGACCTATGTCACAGGTCACTAACTTGTAATAATTAGTGACTTAGCCAGGAGTTGGAAGCTGAATGACTGGGTCCTGATGCTGGCCTCGGATCATGAGGCAACAGGGATCCTCCGGGGCCACATGTTATTACCTGGCGCAGCTCCACTCCCAGAGCAGTTCAAAATGTGGTGAATGGCACATAAAAGGACTCAAAGTTCTGTTTTACTATAACGGCCTTTCTCCAAGGGTTGTAGATGGCTTTTAATAAAAGATATTAAAGATGACACCAAAATACTCACAAAAAGCAGCAGTAGCAGGGGTGTTATAACGATGCCCTGAAAGAAATAAAAGAGATGATCACTTGTGAGCATGGGAAGCAGCACAGTTTCTTTGCATTTAAAACTCTGATGCATGGAAACGGTATCCTGTTCACTTCTGCTTAATAAAACCTAAACGACAGGGCAGAGGGAGCCCCAATCTAGGCTCTCCCCATCATAATGCCTCAGCATCTCTATTACAATGATTCGAATCCGGCATCTTTGAAACCACAACCACTGATCTTCCTTAAGCTCGTCTTCCCTTTGTAAAACTTAAGTTGCCTTCCACGTTGCATGTGCATCACTCGGGTGGAAGCTGCCAAGCTTTCTTACTCCAAGGCTTTCAACTCTAACTTGGATGAAGGGCCTCTTCAAGGGAAGACAGGTGGTTTAGTCCCAGTTGGGGTCCTCTCCTGAGCAAAGACGGCGTCAGTCGTGATGAATGAGAGGCCGTGATTCTGTAATGTGGGCTGATCTCCCCTAGGAAATGCGCGGGGATCTCAGAACTCATTTCGCTTGATTAGACTCCATGTCTCCATGGTGGAAGGCAAGTCTTTCATCTAATCCGGCCACACAGGACCACCGCAGTCCCTCGGCCTCCCCTAGGCAGGAAGGAGCGAAAGATTTGTTTTCTGAGATGACAAGGAATAGTTTGAGGCTGCTGTCGACGAGGCAGGATACAAACTTTTAGGCCTCTTACAGATAAATCTTTTAAACCAGGTGTTTGAGTTGGGAGCGAACTGACAGGCTTCTGCGTAGAGCAGGAGATGATTATTCGCCCCTTAGTTCTTCCTTTATCTCTCCACACTTCACTATGATTTATACAAGAAAACTCATTTCGTATTTTTATTAATGAATTCTACTTGGAACTTTAAAATCCCAAAGAATCTGTGTGCGCGTGTGTGAGAAAGACAGACAGAGAACACTCTGCCCAGGATCTATGGATGGTACCACTTCATTACTTCTGGGAAAGAAGTCCTTTAGGAAGTCCTTTTGCCACTAGTTACTACATTCTTTTGGATGTGGCCCAAGAGGGACTGGCCTACCTTATATGAACATTGCTATCTTGACTTTCTCAGGAATATACTCATGTGAATATTCACACACAAGCCTATTTTATTGTTAAATAACAGAACAAATGCTTCTTTACTGTGCAAACTTTTGCAATGGACAATAGGGAATACAGCATTTTAATTTGTTATGTTTTTTAACCTGTTTTCTAAAACATGTATTATGGCTTATCAACTCCATTGGTGTCTACGAAACAGGTTCTCATCAGCACATTTAGGAAAGCTGCATGTGAAAAGTGTCAAAATAACTTATAAGAGCTATTGCCTTTCGATGACATGGAATATATTCTGACTTTAGTAGGAATTCCAGATTTTACAAGGCCATGTGGAAACAAAAATATCTGGCTGATTCAGTCTATGTGGGAGCCACCTGATTTCAAGTCGACTTGTTTAAACATTTATTGAATGTCCACTTATATGCCAGGCACTGTTCCATTAATTATAAGAATTAATGGAAACTGATCCAGCAGAAAGGGGGTAAGGATATTCCAGGAAGAGGGAAGGGCATCCACAAAACTATAAAATGTTGAGCATGGTGGAAAGAAAAGCATAAAGTAGAGGAATCCCAGACCAGATCACCAAAGGCCTTGCAGGCCAGGAGAGGGAGCTTGGGATCCTGTCAACAAATAGCGAACTACTGAAGAACTTAAAGCAAGGGCATAATGAGTTGGTAAATAATTTAGTATATGGACAATGGATTTGACTTAGTTTATAACTTGACCAGTTTTTCTGTTATCTGTCAACTCGCCTAAATTCAGATAAAAAATAAAATAGAAACTTATATTAATGTGAATTCTGGAATGTCAGTGACACTAATAACACTTCTGTGATGCAGGTACGACATCTGTGATGGGATAAGGATTTTCACCCAGTGAGTCTCATCACCACTCTGGGGACATTTGTCTTATATTGGAGGAGTCATACTAGTGTCATATATAGTACATAGGGACCCATGTTCTCCCTGGTTCCCATTGATTTTCCTTTGCAACAGTAGCATAGTATTAGTAATAGTAACAATACCAGTACTATTAATGGTATTTTGCTTCAGCACTTTTATGGACATTTAAAAATTTGACCCTCCCCTCTTGAAGGAGTTAGGTTATAAAATAGCCACATTTTACAGATGAGGAAATGGGGGTTCAGAAAAACCAAGCAACCAGACCAAAGTCATACAGAAAATAAATAGCAAAGGCTGGACTCGAGCCTGCGCTGTCGAACTCCCAATCCAGAAATGACTGCACTACACCACTGGTCCCTGCGCAGCAGATTTCAGCAGCCGGTGCAGGTCTCTAGAGTCCTTCTTGGGCATGCGTGCAGTGATGAGCTGCTATGTGATCTTGGTCTCTAGCTGACCAATTCTTAGAGAGGACCTTATTCTGGAAGGCAGAGCACTATGATCCGCAGGTTTTCCTGCCCGAACAGTTCAAGCATATAGTCACCAACACACAATAGATTATTTGTTTCTAAAATATTAAAAATCTCCTAGTGAATAGGATGCATTTTCTAATTCTGGATTCAAGATTCCTCATTATTTTCTCAAAATTGGCTGTTCAAGTTCATTAACTAAGAATGAATTGTTATATAGTGCTGAAGCCTGCTTTTCAGTTGTATAAGGAAATGAGTTAGCCAGATGCCATTAATCCAGACGAGAGCTCTATAATTAAGTTTTGGTGAGGTCATTAGAATTATTACTAGAATAATAATAGCTAATATTTATGGAGTACTTGTGTCAGATGATGTGCTGAGGACTTTATGTATATTACCTTATATAACTTTCACAACAACCCTATGAGGTAGGTACTATTCTTTCTCCACCTACTAGGAAAGGAAACTGAGACTCAGAGACACTGAGTGAAATAAAAAGAGGCAATGCTGGAAATTCATTTTCTAGCTTCCTGACTCCAGAGCCTGGGATCCTGAATGGTATAAATAAAATCTTTGCAATCTTACCCTGTTTCCTCGGGGTTGTATTTTAAGAGTAAACCTGAGAGGAGCTTTAAACTCAGTATGTCTTTTTGATGACATGAAACAAATTGGGTAATAAGCCTTTGTGTGACATGACTGATACATGCTTTTAAAGTCAGGTTTTTCAAATATCAATGATAAAAAGGGTGACCTACAATTTTAAACTGTAACAGCAACAATCATTGGAAGCTGGAAAGTCAAATAAACATGCCATTTTCTCTCAGGCTCTGAAGGCTCAATTCCATTTGCTGCTTCTTTCTCTTTCCCAAGTAAATTCTATACAAATGGCTGAAACCAAGAGGTGGTAGATAAGCACTTCTAGCAAAAGATGTTACCCCCCTCCTTGTGGATTCAAGGTCAAGACACAGTTTTAGCATCCTTGCAACTGGGAGGGTGTGTTAAGCTTTCTGATTGCAACACCTGAAGAAATCAAGTCACAAAGTGATGGGCTTTGATTGTCTCCTAAAAAACCTTCAGAAAATCCATTTACACCTCTGATGTGAATGACTGGGTGAATATATTTCAATGACTTTAGTTGGGAGGGGAAAAAAGTGTCAAATCTGAGAAACTAAGATTTAGTCACATTAAAAAACAAAACCAGCCCCCCAAAGTAACAACTGAAGCAACAATAAAACTGTGAATGCACTTCTCTCAACAGCAGAACTTGTAAAAAAGGCAAAACTGAAGTGAATTATAATTTAAAAAAAAAAAAAAAGAATGTTATCAAAAGGTTTTGCTGCAACAACTATTGATCACACAGATACTAAAAGTGACTTCTTAGGCTTTCATCTCTAGGATATTGAATTTCAAGCCCTGGGAAAGGTGCTTTTAGTTTTTAAATTAAAAGACTCAAGTTTTACAGAATGACAGAATCTGTTTTGCAAGGGATCTCAGACCTACCTGGTCCAGTCCTCTGCAGTGTGATACCCCCTGAGTGTCTCTCTCACTTGCTCTGTGGGTGTGATAGCTGCACCTTTGCAAGAGATCCCCTAGGGGAACAGTGTTCTCAAGGCACACACTGCTTGGCTGGAGCTCTCTGACAGGAGGAAGCTCCTTCCTACACTGATTCCAACCCACTTCCGTTGCTGCCTTGTCCTCCCCTTGGAGCAACTTAGGGCATGTCTTACACTCTCCTTCCTTGTGATGGCTTTTCTTTTAAAATTTTATTTTTCAATTGCAGTTCACTTTCAATATCATTTTATATTAGTTTCAGGTGTAAAGGACAGTGGCTAGACAATCATATAATTTACAGTGATCCCCCTGATAATTCAAGTACCCACCTAGCACCATACATAGTTATTACATAGTATAACTATCAGTTTGTACTTCTTAATCGCTTCACCTTTTTTACCCAACCCCATCCCCTCTCCCCTTGCCCCCAAGTTAAGTGGGTGGTGCAGATGGGTTCAGACAGATGCCTGTAATGCAACAGTGGGTTGCATTACAGGAAGAGAATATGGAATTTAGGGAACCCAAATCTTTTATAATGGGCAGAAAGTATGCCTGCCCTTTGCTCCAGAGGGAGATGCTATTTCTCTCTCTCAAGGCTGTTCACCATACAAACATCCTTGAAAAAACAGTGGGAAACCATGCTTGCTCACAGATGTACAGAAATGTGACAGACACATGGAGAATTGTCTTCCAACAGAGGAAATAGCCAGCAGACTGGCCCTGTTGCTATTGGTCACCTAAACATTTGAGTTATCAAGCTCATGATCATTCCCTTCAGATATCATCTCTGAGCCAATGTCCTTTCGCAAGGAAATGACCATTAAACAATCATTTTTAAATGACTCAGAAAACATCTCTCCATGATGACACTGATCCTTTAACACTCCTTGGACACTATGGTTCAACTAAGTCAGAGTCTAACCAATTAAACTGACTCCCAACTCAGAATTCTCTCTCCTTCTCTTTAAATGGGGGTATTTGATATACATGTGTCTTTTTGAAATCTAGATCCTTGCTAGAATGAACTGTGGA